TATATATAATCCCTCCAGAAAGTTCTGGATTCAATTAAATTTAATTCAGTTTATTTATAAATTACCAAATCACAACAAAGTTGTCTCAGGGACTTTACAGGAACATTCACATAAAAGCCAGTTAGTAAAGTTCTCTATCTAAGGAATCCAGCAGACAAGATGAATCTTGTCTTCGTTGCAGTCTCCCATCCTGAGCAAGCACAGTGGAGACAGTGGGAAGAAAAACTCCCTTTAACAGGAAGAAACCTCCAGCAGAACCAGCTCAGGACAAGAGACCATCTGCTTTGACCGGCTGGTTGAGAGGACAGGAAGGAGAGACAGACGAACACAGATTCAATCAAAGGTCTTCACCCACTCAGACCTGCCTGAAAACCCCTAAAGGGAGGAGTCCAGAAGGCACCCCCCAGATGACGGAGAGCCTAAGGGAGGTGTCCAGAAGGCACCCCCCAGATGACGGAGAGCCTCACCCTATCTCGAAGGCCGAGCCAGGCCATCCTAAGGAACAAGCTAATTTCAGTTGCTTGTCTCTGAGACCTCGTCCTTTCAGTCGTGATCTGTACCTCTGCCTCAGTCAGAGGACTCCCAGTATCTGGACGTCTTGTTCCTGGGTGATGGTGGGATGGAGCGGGACACCGACTGACAGATCGGGTCCGTGTCCTCAGTAATGAGGGCGTTGCTTCGGTCAGTCTAACCCTAACCCAGTCCTGTGAAAGTCAAAGCTCTGGATTTACTGGTCCACCAACGTTCACCTGTGGTTGTGAGACCTGGACTCCATCTGTTTCAAAGCAGAACTTTGTTACAATTCTAATGAAAATTAAACATTTATAATCAATTCAATTTGAAAAATGATACAAAACCTTGAGCATCTGTGGCGTTTTAACAAAAGTGCATTTCTACATATTTGACACGACAGGTTGCAACAAAAGAAGTCTCTTTATTCAGAAAAGTATTTAATTCTTATAGCGTTTTTCATTGTTTGACATGTTAGAATATAATTCAGGCGGCTGCATGTATGTCAGCATTAAAGGCATTTATTGTTACTAATTCATAGCTGGTTATATGTGGTGGCCCTTGAAAGCCTTGTGGTGTTCCTGGTGTTTCTAAGGGTGAAGCTTTGAGCCATGGCTGCTTAAAGCCGTGAAGGTTTAATGAAAATTTGTTGAAGCTGCAGTTTGCGTGCGGTCGGTTCCCGGGGGGAACACATCCACGTCGTGTCTCTGCATTAATATGGATGTGATGGGAAGTGAAGGAGAAAACAGCTGCAGTCTGGGAGCTCCTCATCTTTAAATGCAGAGCAGGCAGAAGTTTCTCCTCTTGTCTTCAGGAACATCATGATGGAACGTGGCGTCACTTTCAAGAGAATTTGTCTGGATTTTGATTTTCAACATTTAGCGCTTTAGCCTCTTACTTTTATTGATGTATTGTGTTTTAATGACACGTTTTCTGTTTTCAAGCTGTTTCCTCTTTTACAACCTCACCTGCTTCTAGTTCCTGGCTGTCTCACCTGCTTCTAGTTCCT